TTTTGCTGGTCTCCTCGAACATGTCTACCAGCTCAAGGCTGCCGTTACTGAACTTCAGCTTCTGAAGCCGGCATTTCGACGGTCTCTCTGCAACGACCGTCGGACGTACCTCACCACTGTTGCGGAGGGTGCATGTAGTATGCCCACCAGAGATGTTGTGGCCAAGCTCCGTCCGCTTATACAGGCCCGCCAAAACGCAAACAGAGGGGGCATGCCCCTCTTCCTGCTGTTTTACTTGAAGATGGCACTCTTGCTGCTGATGCAGACGAGGCTGACAAGCGATGGGTTCGGCATTTCAGCGAGGCTGAGAACGGTGGCCCTGTTGATCCGGCAGAGTTAATCCGCGGCTGTCTCGAAAGGCAGTCATGTCTTGACATTGCCGACCTTGATGTTTGTGTCGAGGATCTTCCTACTAGATGCGAACTCGAGGCTGCCATGAGGAGGTCTCGGTCAGGCCGTGCAGCTGGCAGTGACAGCCTGCCGGCTGAGGTATGGAAAAGTCACACTTCAGCCCTCTCGAAAGTCCTGTATCCCATCCTGCTTAAAACAGCTTTCCGACTCACCGAACCGATTCACTTCAAAGGTGGAGTTATGCACAGCCTTTGGAAAGCCAAGGGACCGCTTGAGGAGTGTTCCAGCTACCGTGGAATTTTGGTCTCAAGCGCAGCAGGAAAGTGTATACACAGTGCCTTTCGTCAAAAATGCGGCCCATGGCTGGACTCGTTGGCCAGCCCCCTTCAAGTCGGCGGCCGGCGAGGCTTCCCCGTCCAGCTGGCTTCGCAGGCCGCTAGATCTTTTCAACATGCCTGTCTGAAAAAAGGTCAGAGCGTTGCTCTGATCTTCTTAGATCTACGTGAAGCATTCCATAAGGTGGCGAGGCCCTTGATTCACGGTGGACAGTTAGACGACGAACACGTCGCCCAGATGATGTCTGCGTTTAACATACCGCCAGATCAGGTCCACGAGTTACATGCGCACGTCAGACAGACCGCTTTGGTGCAGGAGGCCGGAGCATCGCCTTGGGCATCCTCCCTTTTGCAGGAGTTCCAGTCTAGTACATGGTTCAGCATCAGGGGGCACTTGGCTGAGGTCAAGGCTGGAACCCGCCCCGGAGATTCCCTGGCGGATATCGTTTTCTCCTTCCTTTTTGCAGCAGTGTTAAAAAGACTTCGCCAAGCTCTGCTCGACGCAGGTCTCTCCGTTTTCCTACCATGGGACCCTTCCTGGGAGGGAAACCTTGATGGCCCGAGTTCCTCCCCCAATGACAGTCTTGCACCGTTGGACGTGTCCTGGATGGATGACCTGGTCATTCTTCTATGGTCGGACAGCCCCTCCCAGCTTGTTGAGGATGTCAAGTTTGCCGCTGAGACCCTCTTAGATCAGTGCGTCAAAGCGCTGTTGCATCCTAACCTTTCTCCTGGGAAAACGGAAGCGGTCCTCTCGCTCATTGGTCCTGGATCCCGGGGCCTGCGCTCACGCCTTTTCAGGAATCCCCAACCGGGCATTCCTCTGCAGCCAGCGTTGCATCCACCAGCTACCCTCCGTCTTGTTCCTAGATACAAACACCTCGGAGGGGTCCTGCACTGGCAAGGCCACCTGTCACATGAGCTCAAGTCGCGCATCGGACAAGCCTGGCAGGCTTTTCGTAAGCATCGGCGTGCGGTTTTTTATTCACCTCTGGTGACGCACCGCGAGAAGTCCCTTCTGTTTCAGTCCGTAGTTGCGTCCACTCTTTTCTACGGTGCAGGTACATGGGTCTGCGACGACACATCCTCCCTTGATCCCCTTCGCGGTGCATTGTTGGCGATGGGTCGGCAAATGTTGCGACCGACCTTTGATCGGGAGCAGTCCCAACACGTAGGGGCAGGCAGAGTTCTTGCGATAGCTCGCCTCTCCACTGTCGATGCCGAGATCCACGCCGCGAGGCTCAGGCACCTCTCCACTGTACTGCGGCAGGCGCCCGCTGAGTTCTGGGCAATCCTGCATCATGACTCTCAGTGGTTTCACCTGCTTCGGGAGTCCCTGTCATGGCTCCGAGCTTCCTTTTCCAGGGCAGCCTTCCCAGTCGATGACCTTGAGGAATGGACAAGGACCGCATGTGTCATACGGGATAAGCCACAGACCTGGAAAAGGTGGATCTCCAGGGCCTTACACCTCGATCGTCTTACTGCCTTGTGGGACGCTGAAGTAGCACATTACCATGGCCTGTTCTTGCGTTTCCTTCTGACCCATGGGGCTCACCCTGCCTCTGATGTCCTCACATGTGAGCAAGCCCAGGAGCTGTGTGCTCTGTGCGGGAAGAGCTTTCCCAATCTCAGAGCTTGGAGCCACCATGCTTTCAAATGCCACGGACGTGTCAGGGAGGAGCGGCTCTATGCCAGTGGGAACCGTTGCAACATCTGTTTGCGCCTTTTTGCCTCCAACTTTCGACTTTGTAACCATTTGCAACACTCCAAATCATGTTTTGCCGCTCTCCTCGCTGCTGGGGACCCTGGTGAACCCCAACCTGGAAGAGGGAGTCGCAAATACAACTCTGGGGCCGAACAACCTTGCCCAGCAGTTACTGCAGCTGGGCCTGTCTTGGCCAGGCAAGAGGTTACTTATGTCCCTGAGGCTGAACGGCCTGATCCTGCAACCCTCTCCGCTCTTGAGATGATCTATGCCTTCCCTGAGGAATGGCCTTGCTTTCAGGACCTTCTTGAGGCTGTCCGGGCAGCCTTTTGTAAGACGTGCTTGCAAGTTTCTAGGTTGAAGGCGACAGCTGCACAATGGTGGAACAATCTGCATGAGGAGCTTGACAGGTGCGATGATGTACCTGTAGCCTGGGCTGCCCAACATTTGCGCATTGCTAGGATGCTACTGCAGGTAGACTTTGTCACCTGGCTTGCTCCGACACCCACTGCCCATGGCCCCCAGCTCTCAACGTTCCGTGATGCAGCCAAGGTGCTGCCCTGGCTTGTTTTTGATCTTGTCCAGTTTCCTTCACCGCAACCGTCCTCTGAGGACACTCACTGGATTTGTGCCCGCTCTCCCCCAAGACCGAGCTCAGTTGTTGAGATTTGGGACTTCGTTTCCCATGACTCCTGCTTTGCCGATCCTGGATTGTTGGATTTTGACGCATGGTGCCGATCCCGAAACGGTTGCGTGCGGGGCTTTAGTCTCATCGGACTCTTGCCCTCGCTTCAATGCCCTCCTGCTACTCGCTCCTACAAGTCCCTGCAGGAACCCCTTCAGCAACTGCGCCTTTTTGCTGACATCGTTCGGGGTCTTGTCCTGCTATGGTCTGCTGGCCGACCTGCCTTTGTCATTGCCCCGTCCATTGCATGCCCTGGACTTAGGGTCACTCGGCAGCTCGCCACAGATGTAGTTGAAGTAGAAGGAGCCACTGTCCTTGCCAACTTTCCCGGTATTGGCGGACTTGTTTCTCGTCTCACCTCTTTCTAATTAAATGCAACATAGGCTGCATCCGATTCGGATTCCGTGCCTCGAAAGCGAAAGCGAAAGCGATATATATATACATATATATATATATAGATACAGATATAGATATAGATATAGATATAGATATAGACATATATATATATACATATATATATATATATATACACAGATATGTATCTTCTCATCCTTGCCACTGCATCTGCTGTTATTAGCCGCGCACTCTCTGATCCCTGGTTGCAGGTGGTCAGTTGGTTTTCGTTGAGCACGTATTGGCCGACAGTGCCAAAATGCCCTTTCTCCTGGCAGCGCAAGTTGCCTTGCGCCCTGTGCAGATGGCCTTGTGCAACGGCTGCCCGTCGGCAAATAGTGCTTTTCGCGTTTCGGCGCAGCTGACATGGTGATGCGAATATAGGGGCCCATTCTGGTAGAATGGGCCCAAACCCCGATTCTAATTACTAAGGCCCCCTATACCAGCCACTGGCTTGGGGCACGAGCCAAACTGAAGCAAAAAAGACCAGAGAATGACTGGCAGGACGAGCGCATTGAAAGTCTTCAGAATCGGAAACTGATGATATTTGCAAAAGCTTTTTGGGAACTATCCCAGTCGAGACTGGTCACTTTGCATTGCGGCACCCAACCTCGAAAAATCCTCAAGCCCAGGCTGCGATCCATGCCGCGACACCGAGCGGCTTTTTGAGAGCGAGCTCTTTGAGGTTCCTTGGAGGATGTTTTGGGCTTGGCGTTCAGTGTTTGGGATTGTTGCGTTTGGGCTTGAGGGTTTTACGTCCTTGGATTCCGGACGTGATGATTGATCGGGAGCTGTGGGTTTGAAGTTGAGTGTCGGAGCATTGGCTTCAGATGTTGAGCCTTTCCGACTGGCTTCAAAGACAGGGTTCTGGGCACCAGCGTTTAGGGTTTAGTTTGCAACTGGTTAACTGGTTTGAGTCAGAGGACGCGTGTAAAAAGATTCCGCATTGCTTCTTCTAACTACTCGTGTTCGAGACCGTCACCAGGCACTGGACAGACTGCACCATTCCGAACACTGAGCCAAGCTTGCCAACACTCCGTAGACTAAACCTGACTAATTTCAACTACACAATATCTCACCCGTTTACGCCTGCGCCTGAGGCGGTGAAGCTGAAGCGCTTCAGCTTGCCGGTGCTCGGAGTTCCTATACCCCACATCAAGGGCATTGCCCTGAAGAGTGAAGGCGACCTCACCAAGACATGGCCTGGGCCGTTGAGTGTCGAAGAGTTTATTTGAAGACGAACCGTGACATGGCCCAGTTCCTCCGCCCGATTTGCAGTGCCTGGATATCTGCAAGAGAGGATCCTGGAAGAGACAGTCTTTGGGCAGATACTCGCCGAGCCGAGTGTGCTTCCAACTGCCTGTGGACACCCAGCTGCCAGCGATCGCACAGACTGCACGTGCAGACAAGAGTTCGCCCTCAGTCTCACAAAAAGCTATTGCTTTCTGCATGCGGCTGCTGAAAGATTCACCATAAACGCAAAGGCATGTCTGGGCGTGCCTGACACAGGTGTAGCCCTCCAGCGGCAATGATGCCCGCCACGCACTCAGGGGTCCACAAAAGTCAAAAGTGGTTTGTTCTGTCAAGCCTTAGTATTGAATTGTTCAACCTTTTTCGGGTACTATAACCCGAAACGTGAGCTTGTATAGAGTATCGGTTACTGGTGCCGATGCACTGTTCGCGCCTTGCTCGTTGGGTTGCGTGCATTGGTCGTGTTTCTTGCCAGCTCCGAAATCCTTCACTGCTACGCTTGGTGCCTCCGAGATTTGGGAGTGTCCGAAAATAAGGGACCCTAATATAGTACCCTAAATAGTAGGATCCTTGTTATAAGGACCCCGAATAAGGTTCCCCTAATTTTCGGAAACTCCAATTTAACAGCAAATCCCTAAAGTAAGGTCTCTTGCTTTCGTCTTGGAAAAAGAAAGTAAAGAAAATTTCTTCCAGGGGCCAAAATAACTACTAATACTATTCCGGGTATTATAAGTATAGTACAACGGGCCCCTATATTAGAGGTTGCAAAGTCTGATAGACATCAGACCCTCGGGCCTCACCGTCCACGTCTTCTAGGCATACCGAGTGTTAGAAATGAATAGACAGAAATGCATGTGTGTATATATATAATATAATATAATATATATATATATATATATATATATAATAAGATCATATATGTATATATATATAATCTATATATATATATATATATATGTGATATATGCATAACAAAGATAACATGTACATACATATACATATACAGACATATTCTGGTAAGACGACAGTTCGTCGCACTGTCGCATGTCGGTCTTGAAAAGCTTGCAAGAAGCTCCTTGCCCCGTTAGACTCCTCCATCAGTCTTCCGTCCGGAACATTGAGGAGTCTAAATCGAATTACTCGGGTGGATTGACTCCTCCGCTAGCCAGGCCGCGTAAAATGCACTTTACGGCACTTTGCGTCCTGCAGGATCTCATAGGCAAGGGCGACAAAACTTACTATATGCGCGCTTGATATAGATATGCATGGTGGTGGCATCTTGCAATCACAATATCTAGGTCAACATAGTCATTGTAGGTAGCAGACCGACAGTAACAAGCGTTCAACCTTCCAAACACCCGACTCCCAGCACCACACAACCTGGACAAACCGACAGCGTTAAAAATTGGATGGTTTCGGCTATGCAGGGCGGTGATGGTCAAGAGCAGGAGAAGCATGATGAGCATCATCATAATGCCAAGGATGATCAGGATGCGAATGGGGACGATGATGACAGCAGTAGCAGCATCGCGCTTTCGGAAGGATGAACCCGAAATTGCCCCCAAACCCGAAACCCGGGGTGCTTGACGGTGTCAGGAGTGTAAATCCCTAGACCCTTGTGAGACTTGTGGGAGTCGACAACCCGGGACTAGCCCTCTGCAATTGCAGCATAGTCTCGTGTAGTGGTGTCCTGCCGAAACCGATTCAGCAAATCGCGAATTCAAAAACCTGAAACGTACATCACCCTATCAAAAACACAAAAACGTAGGAGTACGTGAGCCCCCGTCCAAACAGAGCCCTGAGATCACGAGGCTCCTGAGCCTTCGCCGACAAACAGAGATCAATCGCCGGTGGCGGAGCGCTCTGGCAGTGGGCCTGGCTAGCTTTCTGAAATCTGGGGGGGTTTAGGATTTAGGCGGGAGTTCTTTGTGAGCGTTCTATAAGTTAAAGGGGGTTTTTGAATAACGGGGCTATGCAAGCAATCTGTTTAGGGTGCCTTCTTGAAAACTCTTGTCGGGCTTAGGGCGAAAGGCTTCTCGGAGACTCCGGGATCTTTTTCAGGGCCTAGGATCTGGCTAGCCCCAAGCCCAGTGGCAGAAAAGGGCCCCCTTTCGTGAAGGACCCCGACTCGGACTTAGTTTCGAAGTGCTTCTTTAAGTTACTGATACCGAAGTCCGGGTTGCAGGGTTTAGGCCTCTGGGCCGGCGGATTGGAGGGTTGGAGGCAGTATGTTGAAAAGAGGCTTCCCAGCAGAGTTATGCATGTACAGGCTGAGGTGTACGGTTTCGCATGGTAAACGTCTCAGCTAGTCCACTTTGTTTGCACTGTGCCTGCTCAGCACATTAGTGGCCGCGTCTCGGCACGCCGAATTCTGGGCAGCCTCAGGGAAACAATCCAACGACATGTCGGCAGTCGTCGAGCCGTCGGAGAAACAGCCATCACTCCGATCATACACTTCAGAGCTTTAGTCTGGGCGCATTTTTTCTAGCTCCAAAATCAGCAAGCACATGGTTTGTCTGCTGGTTGCTTAGTGTTCACTGTGCATGTGCGCCTAAATCAAGGAAGCTGCTGCGGTGGATGCAGCCTTGCACTCGCCTCGACGACCATGGTGCTGTTGATCGCTGCAGCACCCTCAGCTCGTGTATTCCAGCTTCAGGCTTGGGAAATGGAGTCATGTAATTACATGTTACGTGCTGATACGGTCTACTGATCAGCAGGTAGCATAGGGCATAGGACAAGTGTTGGTACTGTTTTGACTGGCCAGTGAATATCAGAACAGTGTTGTGCTCCTGTTACAGCAGCTACTCATGCCATTTCTGGTGCTCCTACTACGGATAGTACCGTCGGCGCTACAGTTGCAGCTGCATTTGCTGCACGGTAATTTCGTGCTCGCTAGGGCGTGACAGGCGCAGCAAAGGTCAAGTGAAGCATAAAGTAATTTATTAGTAGCAGTAGCAGGTCTAGGAACAGGAACAGGAGGAAGCGGTGGCAGAGATAGGGCAGGGCAGTAGTAAGCCGTCATTGCTGGCACTGGTCCGCTCCGCTTGTAATTAAGACCTCTTACACGATCGCCTGTGCTGCCTCTCGTAGCCGTCGGGCCACAAGTGATCTTGGAAGGCCAGGAGTCTTGGGAGTTTGATACCTCTGCCAGAAGATCCTCTCGATCAGCGTCATGACGAAGCAGCTGGAAGTGCCGAAGCAGGCATCTCAACACGGAGCTCGCATGTCCCGACGCAAGACTGACGGCGACTCACGGATGCTGGACCTCGGAGACTTTGCACTCGCCTGCACTCCCTCAGCTGAGACGGGCAAGATCGTGCACCGTCGCCGCCGACCCAAAGGAGGGACTCTCCATCAGTACATGACAGCCCGCCGACCGTCGCAGCCGGATCAGCTTCCCAAGATTCCAAGTCCAAGGGTTGAGAAGGAACCCTTGCAGAGGCACACCAGTCTGCCGGCGATCGTGGATGTGAAGACCGAAGCATTGTTGCTGTCCCGCCAGCTCCACTTGGACTTTCATGAAGTGAAGCACGCCGTGCAGGAGCTGCGGAAAGAACATGCAGAACTTGCTAACGGAGGCTTTTCGGACTTTCCTCTGGTTTGTCGAGAAACAGGGTTTCTAGCACTGGTTCACTTCCTGCATGCTACGGGGTGGCACGTGTAAACACACGGCAGTAAAGCTCTTGCCAAGAATCCCTCACTTCCGGTCCCAGATCTTATGCAAACACTAGAAGAAGTCTCCGGAATTAAATGCTGCAGCCCAGAAGTGTCCTTTCTCCACGGCATTCATCTGGCATTCACCATCCAGAGAAGCTTCCGTCTCAAGCTCTAAAGGCATGGAGCTTGCAACTTTTCGAGACTGCGTACTTCGAGCCTTCAGCGTCAAAGACATCCACGATCGACTCCTTCAGGATGCATACCGCCAATGCAAGGCTCGTCTTCGGATCTTTAGGGCTTGAGGCTTCATGCTTCCCTTAACAGAGAAGCATGAACTGGATATCACTACTATACCTCAGGGCTCCTTGAACTCATGTACATCATACTACACTATACGTACCCGCAAAGCCTATTTTACTTACCTAGACCCCCAAAAGTAGGTAAAATAATGGCCCAAACCAAAAAAAGGCTATTATTCTACATACTTTTGGGGTCCATGTATTCAGGCCCCTCAATTTTCGAAGTTTCATGCGGGGTCCCGGGGGCTTGGAGGGGCGAGGCTTGGGGACGGCAGGGCCTGACGCTCCCTTTAGAGGGGTTTATAGGGCTTCTATAGGGCTCCCTTTAAAAGGTATTATAAGGGGTACTTTAAGGGATCTATAGGGGTGCTCCCGGGAGCTTGTTTGGGGCTCTTGCGAACAGGTCCAGAGAGACCCATACCCCTACATCAGTATTTGATGCTTCCTGCGTAGGGAGAGTCTCAATCTACCCACTGGGCCGTACTAAGTCCAGATCCCTTTTGCATGCCTGCTGGACGACTTTGTTTATTTTGTTTTCACGACATGTCTCTAAGGTTGTTGCTGCTTTTGCTGTTAGCTGAAGATGGTGACGTGATTCAGGACAGCTCGCGGTGGGCATTGGCGCATCTTGTGATTCATGCTGGGGTTCGGAAGAGTTAATTCAGTGGAAGAGTTAACTCAGTTTCTGCGAGCTCCGAAAACCCAACTTGCACAGCCGACAGGCAGCAGATGGACCAGTGAGCCCCAAGCGGTTCTTGTCCTGGTATCGGGACCACATCTTCATCTTCATGCATGAGCAGGAGACCTTTCTTCGGGCTTCTGGGCTTCTGTAGGACTTCGCAGGCGGAGTCCTAGGGTTGATGATATAAATCCTGCATGACCCATAATAAGGAATATACCATAATTCCCATAGTTCAGGGTCCTTAAGGTAATGCAGGATTTGTATCATCAACCGCAGTAGTAGCTCTCCGTAGAAAACTGATGTTGATCCCTCGGCTCTTGAAGACAGGAGAATGACCCCGCGAAGGAAAGTGCAGATGCTTTGACTCTCGAGCTGGCCAAGAAGCATGATTGCTCTTGCATTGAGCTTGACAAGGTCAAGCTGCAGTTCGACCACTTTGATATCGACAAGTCAGGCCTAATTGAGTACAATGAGTTTGAGTCGATGATGTACACACTCCTACATTGTGCCAGCAAGTCAGACCTCCCACCGAATCGCATTGAGCGCTTCTGGCATGAGGCGAGGTATAGTTTATATATGCCGTTAGGAGATTGTTGTACAGCTGGTTGGGTGTTTTTGTGACTGCATATTTGGGGTGCCCGTATCCCCCAAAAGCAGTCACGAAAGAGCAAACTTTCAGGTGGACTTGGATGGCAATGGATCGGTGGACTTCACTGAGTTCACGGAGTGGTATCTCAAGTACTTCGCCCTTGCCCAGGAGCATGGTCCCATTGAGGCGTTCTACGCTTCTTTCATGCCAAGCGTTCAACGGACAAAAAGCTTGGAGTCCAGAAACTCCACAAGTCCTAGGGAGGTCAAGGACGATGCTTTCGCGGTTCTGCGCCACCTGGAACAGCCCAAGAAGCTCGAGCCCCTGCGATGCCGAGAAGAGCTGCGCGTCTCCCCGAAATCAATGAGGCGTCGTATGACCACCGGATCCTGCATCGACAACTCACTCTGTTGAAGCGCGTGTGCCACAGCCGATGGCCTGCTTTACAGCAAGGAGCAATGTCTGGTTGGCCCAGTATTATCACATCATCCCAGGAATATCACATCATCGCAGTTTCAGTTTAAGTTTGAAGCCTCTCTGGCAAGCATGCTTTTTCAACGTTTTAGCTTGCCACCAGAGCGGCGTGAAGAGTGCAGCACGCCTCTGGGTGCTTCAGTAGCAGGACACAGCTGGAGTGCTGCAGCTTCGCTACCATGGCTCAAGCCATGAAGGGACGTAGTGTAGGATTAGTCTGTTTTGTCTGTTTGTGCACGTACATTTCGTCTTGCAACTGCAAGAGGTTCCCTACCCATGCTAGGGACGGAATGGGAACGGCAGCACAACTTTCGCTGCGAACAGTTTTGAGTTTAGGCGGCGCTCATGTGCTAAAAGCACTGCCCGCCGATCTGTACAGACCTAGCCTGCATTTCTGGCTATCCACTGTGTGGCCGAGATCTCCACGGTGTTTGGCTTCATGCATTTCCTCGGCTAGAATGCTGGAGAAAATTGAGCGGTACTCGTGGGCGTCCGTAATACGCCACCATGTCTTCCGATGCGGTTCTAAGCAACAGTGTGAGGGCATAGGGCTCATACTCTAGATTCGAGTTCTGTAGGATAGAGTACACAGCGGGCAAGCTCCCGGTTCTAAGCTGCAGGAGGCTCCCGCCACATTGAGATTTTGAACTCCGCAAATCCGAGTACTGGAGACTCGAGACCGTGCTTCCCATGAAATTGTTCGTATTATTCCTTTTGCGTGTTAGTATTGTTGCACGTATTGCCATTACAAGTCTTATTAATAGTTTTAGAATTCTTGTTCTTGCTGTTAGTACGAGACCATGCCATGTCCCAGGTCTTGGGGCCATTTTTCCAGCCATCTCCATCGGAGGTCGGGCACCTCAAGCTCTACGGCTTTGCGAGTTTGAGTTGGTTATATTAGAAAAGAGTAATAGGTCAGTTCATAACATTTCATCGGCCTACCAGATTTCTACCAGTCTGGCGCGCAAAAGCTCACGCAAACATCGTTATCCAGTATTTCCTACTTCCAAAGGCTAGGCTACAAGGACTTCTCCGTTTGGATTCTGGGTGGGAGCTCCACTTCTGCTGGTTACCTTAGGGGTACTTAGAAATAGTTTTAATTTTTGGTTATTATAATCCCTAAGAAACTGCCAAAATTATAATTTCTAACTTCAGTATAGTTACCCCATATAAGGGCGAGGTCAATAATTAGCAAGAACACCACAACGAGCATCACTGCGCCTTTTCTCATCAGCATTTACGTCGCCAGACTTCCCTAAGTCCTGCCTCCGAAAATCCGTAAGCGCCGCCGGATCCTAAACGTAAAACACCAAACCCTGAAACCTTGTACCAGTTTTTACCCCAGCCTTTGCTGCAGGCTTCTGAGGGATCCCTGAAAATGTTCACCTTCAGCATTCTCTTCATCGCCTTCCTCTTCTACAGGCCTGGAACTGAGCTTTTTGGGGTTTCGGGTCTAGGGTTTCGGGCAGACCGGGGCCAAAGAGGGTTTAGGATTCAGGGGTTCGTTTCACTTGAGCGACGTCGGAGGGTCATATACTCTGGCAGCCAGCAAGCCCAGTGTCAAAAAGGGGTTCAGGGTTTAGAGATTGCAGAGGTCAAGATTTCGGGGTCCAGGGTTTAGCGTATAGAGTCCAGGGCCAAGGACTTCTCAAGTTAGAGGCTCTGAACTCGCCACGTTTGGAGTTCTGTGGCACTGCAACCTAAATAATTTTATACGTTTGTTTATGTCTAGTTTTCTGGAGTTCCGCAGTATACCCATTATCTAAATTCCAAGACCCAGTTCTCATTACTACCGCCCCTACATTATAGCTTTCAAGCATGGGCAAGCCTTTGTGTCAGCTTGTTGTCAATGCATGCCAATGTGTGCTGTTGCTCGCAAAGATAGAAGTATTATCCTAGGTAGCTCTGTGGCATCCTAGGAGTCCACAGGAAGCATCTCGCCCTACCGGCTATAGCTTTAGTAAAAATTATTTCGGTTATTTGTAGATCACGTTTTTTGAACTACGGATGCATCCATGACTCCTAAACTCTATGAGCGACTCAAGCCTCGACCGAGGACCTGCGCAAAGCGCCCCGGCAAAGAAGAGGAGGAGGAGGCGGGCGTGCATTGCGCGGCGGGGGGGGGGATCGTTGAGGATTTAGGTTATGAGTCGTTCCTGCTGCACCTCCGCGTGCTGTACTCACAGGGTAATGTAGGAACGTGATGAAGAAACCCTGGGCCTTCAACCCCCAAAAATAGTACGTCCAAATTAAATAGTACGTCTATGTAGGATCCATATAAGGAACCCTGATAAAGGTCCAAGGTACATTAAGCAGTTCGGGTGGAAGGCCACAATGATTTCCCAAGGTTTCTGGTTCAATTTAGGCAAATCCTATGATGGAAGAGGAGTCTCCGACCGAACCTGCACAAGATCTCAATTGCATAATATCCCGAAGCCCGGAATCCCGAACCCTAAACCCTGAGCAGTTCAACCAAGACACCCTGCAATGCGGGCTTCGTCCTTGCTAGGTAGGAGGGAAAAAAGAACCTGTGTGGAGCCTTGCCTGCCTTGTGCGAGTGTGAGCGTAGAGCCTCAAAATCCTTGACCGCTATGCAAACGAATCAAAATGTCATAGCCCGCGCAACCCCAAACATTGAACTGGAACTTCAAGGACGAGAATTGGGAGGAGTGCTTCCAGGCTCGGGTGTGTGTATGGGCGGCACCGGTAAGAACCCAACAACAGCATAAGCGTTCTAGGGTTTCAGAGTTGGGGAGGGTTGGGGCGTCTCGGATCTTAGACAGTTTTTGGGATTTCTTTCAAGACTTGACCTAGCCCGTAGAACCGTGCTCAACAATTTTCAACTTCGGAGCCGCAGTCGTTGTCGTGGCCCATGTCGTATCGAGCTCTAGAACTAATGTTGTCCCATGCCATGGATGCAGAGGATCGTTCAGTTGACGTAGAATAGCGGCCTCAATAACTACATACATATAGAACAGGGCTTTATAAGGGTTCCTTTTCGGGGTTTCTATTTCTATCCGGGGTTTGAACCCTTCATGCTGATCGGAGCCATCTATACCATCGGAGATCGAAACGCCAAACCTTCTCACGATTCCTAGCAGCTGCCCTTGAGGGAGAGTCGGTAGCTGGGTAGCCTGGTGTAGGTAGCGGAAATTTGGGGCCTCTCTGTGTTGCGGTGCTCATCCAAAACAGGAGGCGCCCTACCTGGAGACTGCTCTCCGTATGGGCCACTCGCGGCCGCGTTTGATGCGGAGCGGCTCGGAAACCTGGCGACAGGACACCGGGGTGAAACTCTCTGCCCTCAACTCTAAGCCCTTACACCCCAAGCACAGAATCCTCATTTCTTGGTTCTTCTGAGTGCCCCAGGAAACCCGTGTACAGACTGACTACTCAAATTCATCGGCATCTGCAGCACGCACACTCGCATGTGTCCGTCTCTTTGTGTGAATGTGTTTGCCTGTTTGCACAGTTGCATGTATATCTCAGTCGGTGCTGTCGGTGTCTGCCAGCAAAGTTGTGTAGCTTCACCAGTCACACTGATGTAGAAGTCGTGCCAGCAGCAGCTACTAGACCGAAACTATGGCTTCAAAGTTTGCTGCAGGGGCCGTAAACCCAACATAATCACTGTAACTGTCCGATCCCAAGCCCTTGAGCCATACTCAGAGGGCCCGATGGCCCTTCATTCTAAAACGATTAAGGCATACTCCTTAATCCTAAATCCTAAAAGGGCCTGGGCTTTCTGGGCATACTCCTTAATCCTAAACCCTATAACCCTCCATTAAAGGGGGACCTTGGGCTCTCTGGGCACAGCAGGCTAACAGCCCCAAGCATTGGCAGGATCCCAGTCGTGAGCCTGTCCTGGTGTTGCGCGCTCAGTGAGGATTGGGTTTAGGGTTTGGGGTTTAGACATCAACTCGCATCTTGTAAAGCGAGATCTTGTAGTGATTGCAGAGATAGTTCCGGTTTCTTGGCCAGCAGAACTGAGCTTCAGAGCGTGGGCGGACTCGCTGGCTGACACTAAGAGCCCAGCTGCCAAAGGGTGGGTTTAGGGGATGAGAGCTTGGAGTGTTGTGTACTGCTGTACCGTTGCAGAAGATCAGGCAATAGTAAATCCAGTCATGGCAATAGCGGCATCGGGTACCCAGAACAAGACTACTACGGCAATGGTGTCAATTAGTAGAGTATTTGCATTAGGTGTATGGTCAGTGGCAGTCGTCGGCAACCTGGTACAACATGTTATAGCAATAAAGGGAAAGCATGTGCTGTGTTGTTGCTGGTGGCTCCGGTATTTCGCTTGGAACAGACACCCTGCAACTGCAAACCTTCAAGCCAAAATATCCTGCCACAAAATCCGTGGACTGATTCTGAGGGCTGAGGGGATGTTTAGAGTTGAGGGGTTTGTTTTTTTTTTCAGGATTCGGGGTTGGGCGTTGCTCAAAGGTTGTTCAGCACCAATTACACCTCAAGCGACCTTTCCAAGGAAAATGGAGACTTAGATGTTGACCAACAAACCTAGTGCATAGGTATATGCGCGCTTGCAAAAAGTTTTTGCGTTTAAATATTTACATAAATAGACAAAATAGGTAAATGCATATATATATATATACATACATGTGAACGATCGTAACAGGTGTAATGATCATGGTCACAGTAGTACTACATAATTGCTGCTGCTACTACTACTACTACTACTACTACTACTACTACTACTACTACTACTACTACTACTACTACTACTAACTACGACTACTACTACGACTACTACTACGACGACTACTACTACTATGTGGAGAACGGAAAGCCAAAGGGGCAGCACGCACCCTCGTTTTCCGTCCAAGCAGAAAGTCCAACGACCGTGACAGGTCGAACGTCCGCCCAGGACGGGCTGCGCGCAATTGCGTCGCGGCAACGAGAAGCTACCAACGACACACTGCCGTGCTCACTTAAGCCAAAAATGTTATGAATACGAATTACAGAAGAGCATGCATAAAAGCATACAGCACAACAGCCAGCCCGCAGACTATGTACAGTTACATTCGCCCCTCAGCCGAGAGCACGATAGAGCCGTAGGATTCCGCGGGCGGCCGGAGGCCGTAAAACTGACCTACAGACCTTGCCCTCCTACAAACCCTTCGCACTAAGCACAAGACCTTCGTTTTTCACGGCCTGTGCTGCACGAGGCTCTGGTTTCCTACTGTACACAGCCTGCGCCGCACTGCGGCCACAGGGCTGGTGAAACGAGCAGCTGAAGCTGCGGCGTTACTCCACGCGCTTCGGGAGCACTACCGTGCCTCCCTAGCCGCTCCCGTCCAAGACCTGTAGAGCGGATACGCCACCCTGTCGTCTCATCGGAAAGCAGCTAGGTGCTGCGACCAAAACTGAAGTTGCCACAGGTGGCTAGAAGGGCGGAGCGCAGTCCGCGACTTCTAGTCCACGGTCACTGCGGCTCCACGTTGGGTTGCACGGCGGGCTGCTGGACATTTGAGGGTTTTGCCCGCCCGCGGTGGTTCCGCTGAGGTGCTTCGAACTCCTCGAGCTTCAGCGCCTTGGACCACTCGGTGCCAAACGAATCTAGCCACTTTTGGCTAAATTCAGAGGTCAGCACACTGGCGACCGCGATGCCGACCTCCGCGTTGGCCCGTGAACTAGCACTACAGTTTAGGCTTCCTATCACGGCGCTAACTGTGGAGTCCGGCCTCGTCACGAGCACCGTCTTGGCGTGGTGGATGCCCGCGAGGCCTGCGCCGATGCTCACGTCCGTGCGGTTCTCGGCGGCGTAAGCCGCCTTGACCGAGGTGCCCTTGCCGACACGGACCTGAACTCCTGCAGCACCTAGTTCCTTAAGGGACTGCAGCTGGAGCTTGGTCCTGCTCGTCTGAGAGTTGTCGGCCAGCACGTGAGCTCGGGCGCCTCGCTCCAGCGAGGACACGAGGGCTCCTACCAAGGGCTTACTGTCGAAGCTGTAGGCCCGCACGTAGACGTGGTCGCCCTGCCCAGCATCCGCCAGCATCATTTGCACCACGCTGTGGTACTCGGGAAGGGTCAGAAACTTGACCCCAGCTCGCTCGAAGCCATCTGGGAGCGGAAAGTCCCGGACGCGCCGCGCCTGGCTCGACAAGGGAACTGTCGGAGCCGGAGACACTGCAGAGGCACCCGGACGGGTAGCCCCACTGGCAGGCGTCTTCGGAACAGTCTCCGTCGGGGGCGCCGACACTGTGGCCACCCCTTGGCGGCCTCTGAGCTTGGAAATGCCGTCGAGGCAGCCCTCCGACGGGCTGCCGACATTCCGCGCTCTTTCCGAAAGCGCCCTTGCTTTCGAAACCATGCCGGCTAAACACCCCTGTTCCAGGGCGGGCGCGCCGAGAATCGCACGGGCGCGTCTAGTCGCGGCCGGGGCGGCGGGCAGCGTTGGGGCAGCGCTCGCGCCTGTCATGGCCACGAGTTGCCCCGCAGCTTCAACAGCGCGTTCTACGTGACCACAACGTCCCTCGTTCAGGAATGCCCTGCAGTCGCAGCCTGCGCCGTCCGCGCCCGACCCGACTTTCACGAGAACCCTGTGCGCTCCGGCTTTGGTCTTGGACGCGACCTCAAAGACGGCCTCTCGGCCCTCAAGCGACACCAGAACAGCACTCCCAAAAGGGTTGCCGTTCATGGCGTGCATAAGCCGGTTAGTGGCGACACGTCCGGCCCACCACAGCACTACGGCCGCGAACGTCCACAGTAGGACGACGGCCGTCAAGCCAACCACGCGGACACCCCGAACGAGGATACCAGAGGATTCCTCGATGAGGTCCTCCGCCGCAGTGGCAACTGCAGTTAGGCTCACGTGTGCCACCTCTCTGGCACCGCGCTCAACAGTGAAGAGGGTAGGCGCCAGCGCAGCGGCCACCAAACCCGTCTTCCATCCAATGTTGCCCGTTGTGGCGTGGGCTGCGCGATTGCGCGCTCTCCTGGAGAGAGCCCAGCTGGAGACCGCAGCGCCTACCGAGCGCACGGCCCCAAGGAACCCACCACGGTTCGAGGGCCCGGAAGAGACAGCGGGGCGAGAAGAAACGGCAGGGGCCTCGGGCGCCACTCTGTGGACACCCGGGCCACGCAGTGGGAGCGTGAGGGCGGGCTGCCCAGCACGCTCGCCGAGTCGGGAGGAGTATGCCAGTCCGGCAGCACCTCCGGCCCACCATCCTCGGTTGCCGTAGCGGTTCGAGCTTCCCCTTCCACCACCTTTGCCACCACCCTTGCTGCCAGAGCTGCGGCCCCCACTGGGTGCACCGCGCCCGGAGGAAGGTTGGCTCCACCAGGCTCGGGCAGAGTCTTGAGAGAGCTCTGCTTGCCTGCGCTTTTCAGCGCGGAGCCTCTTCCGTCCGGAGCGGAGGAATTTCCTCGCATGCTCCGCAAGGGGATCGGCGTTGATGGAACGCTCGATCCGTTCCATCTTAGTGCCCTCGCTCTCTTCCGACGAAGAAGCAGCTTCATCGTCGCCTTCCTGGGGCGGCATGCCGTGGGTTATGAACGACGCGCCCGACTTAGGGCCACTGCACTTAAAGCACCGTTTGCGCCATAACATGTTCCTCTCTTGGCATGTGTCCCGCCCACAGGTCCAGTAGGCGTTGGACATTGCGGCGGCGATCGCGTCCGAACGCTTCGCATAAAGGTACTCCTTTATGCGTTGCTTATGTTCATCGAGCCAGACCTCGATGAACCACGCCGGCGCCGTTCGCAGGTCCACCGGCGTGCTCCAGTACAGGCTGTCCTCGAAGATCCCCACACAGGGGGCACCTCCGAGCTCCTCGGAATCATGGTGCCGGCAGGTGTTGCGTTCTGGTGGGTTCGCACGCCCACAAGTAAAGCAATCCCACCAGCCCCAAGGCCAGACCTTGCCTGTGAGGAGCGGAACGCGCTCGGGTGTCGGTCCCAGCTCGTTTTCATCGTAATCGGGCCAGATTTCAAACACTGGCCTGTTCGACAAAATCGCAGCCTGGTAGACGAACGCGCGCCTCCGGCGCCGCGCCAACGCGAGGAGCTGCTCAAGCGTGTAATCACCCTCGCCACGAAAGAAGGCCTTGATCATTTCGTCATGTTGAAGATCAAGGGGGACCGTAAGTCTGGGATCCACATCGCGTGCGCCGGGCCTTCCAGGCCCCGGCGGTGGAGTCGCATCCCAGTCCACGTCGCGCCAATCGGCCCCGGGAACCTCGTTCGAGAGTCCGTAAACCCCCGAAACTCGGTGTTTGGGAGCCGGCGACTCCATGGTATCCTGCCATGT